CTCTCTCTCTCTCTCTCTCTCTCTCTCTCTCTCTCTCTCTCTCTCTCATTTCTTTTTTGAGACAAGTTCTCATTGGCCTGGAGTTTGACAACTAGAGACACTGGTAGCCCCCACAGATCCACCTGTCTCCTGCTCCTCAGTGCTGGGAGTAAACAGGACTTCCTGAGATTAACTCAGGTCTTCATGCTTATAAGGCAGCTGCTTTAGTGCAGGCTCTCCCCCCATACACACACCACCCCGTTTCTTTCTTGCTTGCTTGTTTGCTTTCTCTCTTTTGTTTTTTGAGACAGGGTTTCTCCGTGCAGCTCTGGCTGTCCTGGAACTCACTCTGTAGACCAAGCTGGCCTCAAACTCACAGAGATCCTCCTGCCTCTGCCTCCTGAATGCTTAAAGGAGATTAAAGGCGTGCACCACCACCGCCTGGCTTCTCCCTTTCTTAGTATGGATGTGTCTGCACTTCAGTGTATGTATATGTATCATGAGTGCGCAGGTGCTTGTGGGAGACAAAAGCATCAGGTCCAAAGGAATTGTGTCACAAGTGGTTGGACTGTGGGTGCTGGGAATGATCCAGAGTGCTCTGGGAGGGCAGCAGGCACTGTTAGTCACCGAGCCATCGAGCCAGGCCCTTGATTTCCTGTCTTCCTTCTCCTCCTTCTCCTCCTCTTCCTCCTCCTCCTCTTCCTCCTCCTCCTCTTCCTCCTCCTCTTCCTCCTCCTCTTCCTCCTCCTCTTCCTCCTCCTCCTCTTCCGTTTGTCGTTAGCACATAGAAGTACAATGGATACAATACGTTGAACTTATTATCCTACAGTTTTGCTGTGTTTATTAGCTCTAGTGTGTTTGTCTGTCTGTGTGTGTGGGGCACATGAGTGTAGTTGTCCTCAGAAGCCAGAAGAAGTCATCATGTCTCCTGGAGCTTGAGGTCACGGATGTTGAGAGTTGCCTGGTGTGGGTGCTGGAGCCAAACTCAGGTCCTCTGCAAGAGCAGTACATGGTTTTAATCTCTGAGGCATCATTACTCTAGCCCCTAAGGTACCATTTTGCCTTTCCACTCTCTCCATCCATAGCCCAGATGAAGGCCACATATTGATGGATCAGCACTTACTGTGTGCATGCAGCACCTGGAGGAAGGCAGCTTTGCCTGTCCTCCTTCGGAGAACTGGCCCGTGATTCTTGTCATCTCTCCAGTGATTCATCCAGTCTCAATGCAAACCTTTGTTGAGGCTGTTGTGTGTCGCAGGGTCAGCCTGGCTTTGAGCTGCCCATGGGAGCGTGCATGCATTGTCTCATAGGAGCCATGGCAAGCAGAGTCAGAAGCCGGGGAGCTTGCCCCTGCGACACCACAAGCAGCTTTCTTACGTGGGTCCTGGGCACTGGACTCGGCTCCCATGCTTGCTCTGAAAGCATACTACCAAATGAATTCCTACCCTAGCCCCTGCGTCTGCATCTAGTCTTAAGCCATCATGTGGGCTTCTGTGGAGGTGTCTCCTGTCCCCTGAGCTGGCTGTGATCTAGTATGGTAGCATCTCAATAGCTATCCTGAAGCCTTCCTTATCTCTGCATTCACAGAGGTCCTGGGCCCATGTGAAGAAATGCAAAACCAACATGCGTCCAAATCGGGCCTTGGTGGCCCAGCTGCTGGAGTGGGAAAGAGTCCTCCATGGGGAATACCTCACAGACATCTCTGAACCTATCTACTGACCATCGCCTGTCAGCCAGCCATGGTCACCGAGGAGTCTTGGTTGGGACTTTTGGGGGTTGGGGAGCTGGGTTTCCACTTGGAGTGGTCCTGGAGAAGACGTTTGCTGCCTGGAGAGGTTCATATCTGCATCGTAAGACTGGTTCTGTTGCCGGTGCCATCCCAATACTGAGGATTAAACCTAGAGCAGTGGTTCTCAACCTTCCTAAGGCTGCGGCCCCTTAACACCGTTCCTCATGTTGTAGTGACCTCCAGCCACAACATTATTTCATTGCTACTTCATAACTGCAATTTTGCTGCCGTTATGAGTTGTAATGTAGATATCTGTGTTTTCTGATGCTGCCAGGCGACCCCTGTGTAAAGATCATTTGACCCCCAGAGGGGTCTGGATCCACAGGTTGAGAACCACTGACTTAGAGCCTTGCAGGTGCTAGGCAAGCCCTCTGCCATTGAGCTGCATGCTTAGCCTGGGATATATAGACTGGGATGGCCTCAAACTCTGTAGCTGAAGAGGACCTTAGCTCACACTCTGGGGCCCCCAGCTCTCCAGCGCTGAGACTCCAGTGTATGCAGTGCTGAGGATGGACCCGGGGCTTCCTGCAGGCTAACCAGGCGCTCCACCACTGAGCCACACACCTGTCCTGCACCAGGCTTCTTCTAATCCATTTCCTATACCTTTAAGTTTATTTTAGATGTACTTGTTTTATGTATATAGATGTCTTGCCTGCATGTATGTTTATGTATCACATGTATGCCTTGCATACAGACAGACATACAGATGTCAGAAAGGGGCATTGCATCCCTTGGAACTGGAGTTACAGATGGTTGTGAGCTGCCATAGTGGTGCTGGGAACCAAACCTGGATCCTCTGGAAAAGGAGCCAGTGCTCTTAAGCACTGAGCCATCTCTCCACCTTACTGTGTACCTCTGGTCACCCTTAGCCCTGCTGTTTTCTTGCCTCTTAGCTGAGTGCTGTGATTCTAGGCCTTTGTAGGCCCTGGTCCATTCAGCAGAGCAGAACCCTTTTCCTTCTGGCTCCTCAGGCACCTCCATACCTGGAGGCAAGCTGCACCAACCCTACTGCAGTCCTGGAGCACACCGATTACTTCCATTGTGGAGGTTACCCGTGTGGGGGTGCTCAGTGATGCTTATATTGCCCATCCAGCCGTGCTTGTGTTGTGACCAGCTGTCACCATGTCTATCCCAGGGTGTAGATGCTCCCACCCAGCCTTAAGATGCTCCAGACTTCAGAGGCCCCAAACAGGGGTCTTTGCCACATTCTCAGAGCCAGAGCTCTGACCACTGCCTCTGGGTCCCTGGGTATAGACTCTCTGTCCCCAGCTCACTGTGAAGGAGACACTCTGGCCTTCCTCTCACACAGGTTTCTAGAAATTCTATGTTCATTTTTTTTTTCTTTTGAGACAGAGTCTCATGTAGCCCAGGATAGCCTGGAAGTCTCTATGTATGAGGATGACATTGAACTTCTGATTCTCTTGCCTCTTCCATCCAGTTGCTAGGAATACAGGCCTGAACCGCCACACCAAGTTTGTGCTACCAGGAAGCAAACCCAGGCCTCCCTGTATATAGGCATTCTGCCGACTGAGTCACCTCCCCAAAGCCCCCAAATTCCACAAAATCTTACACATTTTTATTACACTGTATTTATATTTTGTACTGTACCTTGCATGCACTTCTTTTTTGCCTGCATATATGTCTGTGCACCACAGACATGGGCCTGGTAACTGTGAAGGCCAGAAATGGGTGTTGGATCACCTGGGACTGGAGTTACAGATGGTTGTGAACCACCACGCAGATCTAGGCCTTGAACTCAGGCCCTCTGTAAGAGCAGCTTTCGCTCCAGCCCGCACACTTCATTTTATATGTGTAGGCGTGCCATGGCACACATGTGGAGGTCAGAGAACAAGCTGCTGAGATTGATTCTCTGTTTCCACAATGTGAGTTCTGGGATCAAAGTGAGGTCACCAGGCTTGGCCGCAGACACTTTTATCTGCTGAGCCACCTCATGGGCTCAGATTCTACAAGTCCCAAGGGACTTGTCCAAAAGCGTTTCCTCAGACTCAGAACAACTCTGGGTGGAGGTGATGAAGAATGTCGGGTGTTAATTATTTAGAAAATATCCCCAGCTATCACTGCCTCCTAGAACTTTCCACAGAGTGGTATGGGTGGTAGGGGAGTGTCCTTGATGAGGATGACAGGAACTTTTGATCCCTCGGCCTGCACCTTCCAAATGCTGGGATCACTGGCATGCGCCGCTGCATCTGGCTCATTGTGTGCTCTTGGATGAAAGTTGAACTCTGAGCGTCCTGCATGCTAGACAAGCTCTCTACCGACTCCGCAACGCGAGCCGCACTGGTAAGGCTTCAGAAGGGACACGGTGGGAAGTTTTGTATTTTAGGTGAGGCAGCCTAAACGCTAAGGATGGCGGAGCGTACGGAGAATTCAGGGCCAGGAGGAGAGTGCGGAGAACTCAGGCCCAGGATCTGTAAAAGCTGAGAGTCCAGGGCTGTCCTTAGAGAGGCACAGCTTCTCAAGGACAAAAGTGTATGAAGCGCCGGGCGAGATGGCTCACGCTTCTAATCTTGGCACACGGGGAGGCAGAGGCAGGGGGATTTCTCGGTTCCAGACCAGCCAGGGCTACGTAGTGAGGAGGTATCTAAAAAAACAAAATCAAAGAAGCACAAGTCGCCTTGGTTTATGAGTGGTCCGAGGAAGCCGACTTTGCGGGTAAAAACGCTGGACGCCCAGGTCTGGTCTCAGAGGAGACGCCCTGCGGGCCGTGTCCCCGCCCAGCTCTCGTCCCTGGCTCCGATTGGCTGCTCCTAGGGGCGGGGCTCGCGCGCAGATTACGCCGGGCCTTTTCCCGTTGGCAGTCTCCGCGGCGCGAGCCCGGAAGCGGACGGGGGCGGTGGCGGAGGCTCCTCCGGCCGGCCGGGGTTGCAGCTCCGTCCTCCCCACTCGCGGCTCCCCGCGGCCCGTGGCGTGGACAAAGACATGCAGTCCCCGCCCCCGGATCCGCTAGGCGACTGCCTGCGCAACTGGGAGGATTTGCAGCAGGACTTCCAAGGTATCCAGGTGAGCTTCCCTGCGGCCATCCAAGCCCCGAGCCACGTCTCTGTCTCGGGGACAAGGGTCGGGCAGCACTAGGTCACACATAAGGTAGCTCGGAGGGGTCAGGGGTCGAGGCTTTCCCTCACTTTTCTTCTTAAATGTCCGATGGCAGCCCCGATTGCCCGCGCGTTCCCTGCGTGCCTGGGCGGGATCCCTCTGTACCAGGATATCTCCACTTTGTGCAAAGGCCTTGAAAACTGGTCAGGACTCCTCTGTTGCCCCTCTCCCTGCACTGCTACTCGGTACGGGACCCTGTCCCCTTCCTAGAGAGCAGTCACCCGAGGCAGAACCCAGCCGGGCCCATCCTTTTGGGTCAGTCACCCTGCAAACGTGCAGCCGGACAACCCCTTCCCCGCCCTTGGCTAACTCTGTGCTAAACATTGCAGGGAAGCAAGTTTAGGTAAAATTCAGGCCTGGTTGGGGGATCTCAGTCATCTGAGATGTAGGGACAGCGCCCACCTAGGGACAGAGAAGGCTTGACCCAGTACATGTGGCTCTTTCTTGTAGGGAGAGGTGGGCGGGGCAGACTTACCAGGACCTCCTGGATTGGTAGAGAGACCTTTGAAAAGTCTCCCATGTCAGGATGGGTTTGTTTGTGGCCACTCTGTCTCCATACCAGAGAGAAGGAAGCCAATGCTTCCTGGAAGGTTGTCACTGGACAGTGGTGGCACATTCTAGAGCTTGAGGAGGATGTGGCATGAGAAACAGACCTAAATAGTGGAGCCTGGCCAACTGGAGACTAGGTTAGACCTTTGCCTCTACTGGACTGTGCCCAGCCTCACATGTCCAGGTCTCCCCAGCCTGCTGGCACTAGAACTCTCCCTAGAGGCCTAGACAGCTCCATGTCTCCCAGTTTTGCCATAACTAGGATGACCTCAGCCCCTGCCTTGATTTCCCCACACTGCCCCTTGCCCTCTCTTTAGGTTGCAGCTTACAAGGTTCTCCCACCAGGGCAAAGTGCTTGGGGAAGCTTTGGGCCAAAGGTGCTTGCAGGAGGCAAGTGCATGGGAGGGACTGGTCTGAGGGCGGGAAGCCTGATGATCTTTAACCCGAGAGGAGAACTCAGGAATGCCTGGGTAGAAGGCATCATGGATATCCCCGCTTTCCATTCTTTCATGCTGGGCAGGTAGGAGGATCTGAGAAGGTCAGGGGTGGGTTCAGGCAGCCCCTTTGAGAACAGCAGTTCTCAACCTGTGGGTCACGACAGGTTGATTGGATTACCCTTTCACAGTGTCGCCTAAGACCATCAGAAAACACAGATACTTACATTATGATTCATAATGGTATCAAAATTACAGATAGGAAATAGCAATGAAAACAATTTTGTGGTTGGGGGTGTCACCACACCATGAGGAACTGTATTAAGGGGTTGCAGCATTAGGAAGGTTGAGAACCACTGGGCTAGAGAGCACATTTAGAATCTAGCTGCCAGAGCTGGAGACAATTGACCTGCTATTGAAGACATGTACCACGGAGGGTCTGAGTTTACTGGAAGAAGCCTAGCTCCTGGCTTGCCTCAGGAACAGAGCAATCTCTGGGAGGTCCCTGGGCAAGCACAGAAAGTTCTACCTCTGAGAGAGCTGGTTCACTGCCCAGGCAGCTCCCCAGTCAAGCCAGTGCCTTCTCTCCTCATGCTAGGAAACACATCGCCTGTACCGCCTCAAGCTAGAGGAGCTCACCAAACTCCAGGACAACTGTACAAACTCCATCACACGCCAAAAGAAGCGGCTCCAGGAGCTAGCCTTGGTGCTGAAAAAGTGAGGGGGGTGACGTCTCGCTGGGGGTGGGTGGTTGACATGGGGGTAGGGTGCCACTGGGCTTCCCCTGGCGTGGCTCTTCTACCCTTCCGCCCTGGGCTTTGTTCCTTTTCTCTGTCCCAAAGGGTTCCCACAGGGTTTCCTGCAGGACTTGGGCTCCCCCACCTGCCCTGCCTGACTCCTGCCGTACTCCCAGATGCAGACCCTCTCTCCCATCCGAGTCCATGGAGGCCGCGCAGGAACTGGAAAACCAGATGAAAGAGCGTCAGGGCCTCTTCTTCGACATGGAAGCGTATCTGCCTAAGAAGAACGGGTGAGCCTTTTCTTCTTCCAGCTCCAGGGATGTGACACCCTAGC